CACACACACACACACACACACACACACACTCACTCACACACGCACACACACACTTACATACACACACGCGCGCGCGCACACACACAAACAAACAAAAACCGATTACAGTCTATGCGTGAAAATTATCATCTTAAGATTACTCAATAGAATAATTCGGGAAAGGAATTATTAGCATCCCTTCTTGCTTATGTGGATTAGTAAATCAATACTATTTTTTTTCCGAATTAGAGTTGGCTTTATAACTATTGTATTCTTATTATAATTATCTACTGTGCTAGAATTATTTTTTTGTAAAGATAGGCTATTATTATATTTTAATTCCTGGTTGTAATTGGCGTAGTAGTTTTTAATTAAAAGGCACTCAATCACCCGCAAAAGTCAAGTTCGCTCTTTCCCTGAAGTGCCCGCGCGCTTTGCCGATTGCTCCACGGCCCTCTATAACCCGGAGTAAGTAATAAAATTACACGAAGGACACTCGTAGCGAAAATCAGAAACATTAAAATAACATCTGATTATTTTTTCATACACATTCAAAACATTTCCGATAGACACTTTACAATAATTGTTGTAAAATAATTTATGGATGCGAAAACGCAGCTCCCTGGAACAGCGGTGTTTATTATCGGACTATATTCCGAGGGCGGATTGAGAAACTAGGCCAGCGGGCGGTGAAGCGGCCATATTTTGTGTGTCTGTGTGTATGCATGCGATCCGCCATTTCACCTATCGCTGATGGGGTTCTGAATTGGATTTTCTCTACTATTCCTGTGATTTTATCTGTGTGAAGCCTGGTTTTCTTGTAAGGATTACTTTCAAGTATTCATTGATTGCTGTACTATTCTTTCAAAGGAATTAAGCTCGGGATAGGCTCCATATGAAGTGAAATTTCGATGGAGGCCGACCCGGGCAAACAGCGATCTCGACAAAAACGTCGAGAGCGAGCGTTGCAGCTCCAACATGAAAAACAAACTAGAGACGAGGAGGAAGCAAGTGGGCAAGATGACCAAGACGAGTCACCCCCTAGATCGAGCAAGGATAAACCTCCTCGGTCTAAACCCAAAAAGGGTAAAAATACGTTATTCGAAGAGGATGTAATCGATGGATTTGCGATAATGAGCTTCAAAACCCTTGAGGAGTTGGAGGTAAGAAGGAAAGGATGGAACTAATTAGACAACGGCAACGGATGCTTAGTTATCTATTAATTATCGTTTCTTGTTTATTTTGTGGACTCAGTTTTTTTACTTACTTTCTATATTATGTTAAGCTAGTTTTTATTTGCGAGTTTTTGAGATCTAAAAGATTTAAGTCTTAGATCTAGTCCATAACATTGGAAATTCTGCTTTACATTGCTGTTTCTTCGCCTAACTTTTTTCCCGTCCGCCTGATTACAAAGGGAGCAGGCCAGTCTGTCGTCTGTTGTTAGCAGATGGGGAACGTCTCATTCGCACTGCCGCTCAAACTGAGTCCAGTTTTCTAGTTCCGTTTAGGTTGTTTTAATTTTTTCCTAGATTAGAAATCCACAATTTATCTATTGACGTGGACTTAAGTTTAAGTTTAAAGTTAAAGGCAAATGATCTCACATTGCAGTGCTCTAGATTTAGATCTAGATCTAGATCTAGATATCTAGATTCTAGTTCTAGAATAGATATCTAGATTCTAGATCTAGATCTATATCTAGATTTAGATTCTAGATCTAGAGTCTAGATTGTAGATTCTAGATCTAGATCTAGATTACTTATCCGTCTTAAGTGTCTTCAGATTTTTTTTCTTCAAATGAAAAGAATCTGATTTTACTTTCCACACTGAACAACAATACTCTCTTGTATTGTAAGCTATTTGTACAGATTTAAAGACAGGTGTCAGTTTTTGGAATTGTAAGTCCTGATTTCTATATAGATCTATATGATTTTTTGTTTGTTTGCCTGTTAAGTCCTGCAGTAATGTAAGAACAGCTCTAGATATCTAGATTATCTAGATCTATCCACGTTATGTCGGTATACTAGATCTAGATCTAGATATCTAGATCTATAAGAATTTCTTGGATAAAAAATGCTTGCTTTACATTTTAAAAATTTGTTTCGTAGTGTGTGTTACCTGTTGGATTTAGATCTAACTATATCTAGATCTAGATATTTAGATCAAGATCTAATTGTGTTACGGTTGCTTTTTAAGAAAAAACGATTGTCTTTCTTTAGTAGACTCTACTGTGCACTTTTTCAACTAGTGCTTTGCCTCTGAATTTTATAGGTTAGAGGGTCCTTTGTAATGTATTTAATTTAAAAACCTATTTAATGACTTTTGCAGATTTTACGATTAGCTTTCAATTAGATCTAGATCTAGTGTGTAAGTCAAAGCAGATTATAAAATCCATTACAGTACAGTCAGGACTGCAGACAACTGGGCCATGGTTAGAAAGGTGCTAGCACGATTCTCATTTTTGTTTTAATTTATCGTTCACTAGCAGCTACTATACTAGATTGCAGATTTGGGGACTTTTCCCCCCTGATATTTTGATTAAAAATAAACTTTCTCCTTTTTCTTCATATATATGCACCCTTGAATATGACAGAGGCATTCTTTGCTTCAAAAGTAAATCATGTCAAGCTGCTTCAGGAATAATTTTGTCTCTTCCCATTATGACTACTCTTCTGCTATGAAAGAGTTTAATGTATTCAATCTTGGTGGCCGTCATCAAGGCTGTATCTTTATTGCTCACAGCTTACGTCAGTCATACTTATAGCTGAACTTTTCCCCTTGCACTATTCAATGAATTCAGTGTCATTGCAGTATCAGTATTGGTATGACAAAGTTTTACACTTAGGGAGGAAAGGGAGTCGGTCACATTTTGAGACCGATTTGATCCCAAAGTGTTATTGTTTTCTGTTTGGTATTTTGTTTGCGAAGTGGCTAGCCGTTCTTAAGGTGATCAGATCTGTTTTACATAGGAAAAGTAAATGGAGTAAATGTTCATGTCAGTGATTGCATGTTTTGACATGATTTATAGTGACACGTGTCAGATTGGAAATATGTTTGTCTACCAGGACAAAGTGGATGATCAGATTAGATCTTGTACATCATAAATGGCTATTTATTTTAAGTAAATATCCAGAATAGGTTTAATTCCTCTCTATGGTTGTTACTGGGTGGTTTTCTAGAGTGAACTAAGAGCACTTTTTGAATTAGTGCTGTAGCATGTTGTTTTTTGGCATCAGTTTTTAAAAACGTTTTAAAATTGGGCCTTGGGGGCTCTCGTGACCTAGAGGTTAAGGTGTTGGCCTCTCATTCAAAGGTCCCGGGTTCGATTCCGGGGTGGCGACCAAAACATTTTCTCTAAAATTGTCTCCTTTCACATCCTTTCCTGATCTCTAACAATGTTCTGTTGTCTGCTTTCATTTCCACTTTCTGCCCCCACCCCCTCAACTCCTTTGCCCCCTCCTCTGGGCTCCTGACTCTTTCTGCAGCCTTTCTACTGCTACTCCTTGGCTCCTCCTAACTGCTGTCTTTCTGCCACACCCCTGATCTTCTGGTAGGAAAGATCTACACCTAGCCTTCTCGGACAAGGGCGAAAAATCTCGGAGGGCCCATGTGCAAGTTGCGCACGTTAAAGATCCCTTGGTGACTTGGTGGTCTAAAATCGATAAGAGTAGGCTTCGGCCGCCACGCGGGCAAAATTCAAAATTTCCTACCAACGAAAAAGTATTAGGTTGCGAGCGCCGTAAAACCCTATACTAAACAAACAAACAAACAAACAAACAAAATTGGGCCTTATTTAAAATTCATACAGTTTTTCTTACTTCTTACCATTACCAACAGCATGAAATACAGTGTACTTATGTTATTGGTAAAGGTGAACCATTATTGGCTTAAGTCAAGCAGAAAGGCTGAAAATTGGTGTCAGCTCTGGTTTATTTAGTTCTATCCTGGCATTATTTTATAGTTTGTATGTTGAGGCTATGAGATATAATTTCCCATAACCTAATTTACACAGTGTTACTATTCTTATGAGGGAAATGTTTAGTTAGAGTAGTCAGAGGAGTCTGCGGTCTATCATTATGTCTTTTCCTTTTTGGTATTTGAACTGTTGTTGAAAATGGAGCTCTCAGAAAAATATGAGAACAGCAGAACTTCAGAGAAAAGCAATTTCATGGGAAAAATGTGCAAATGATTTTGTTCTTTCTTCAAATCAGAACGGATTTGTAAGCGACCATGATTTTTTAAACAGTTTTATTGTGTTATGTTTTTCTTAGTCGCTTTGGTGTAGGCATTATTTTTAATATTCCTTATTTTTATTTTTTATCATGTAACAAAATTTGTAAGCTGCTTACATCATCATTTTGATTTTCTATTGTTCAATAATGACGGGATGATGCCAAAGTTCTGTTATGTTGCTATGCTCAGTGCCGTTCCACAAATAATTTATTTTGTTATCGTTCCTCTCTGATATTGTTAATGCGTGCTGTCTTGCTTTCCCACAACACCCGTCTAGACACTATCATAGATATTGTGCTTTCCTCAGCACAGATATTTAGTTGTTTATGCTGTTTGGGCTTTATCTGGCATGTAGTTTGTGGAAAGGATAATATCGGGGGTTTTGATTTGGGAGGCTTTTGTCAGCAAGATTGAGGAAGAGTTTTTTTTTCTGTGAAGCTGTTGATAAATGTATGTATGGAAAATAAGGGAATAAACATTTTACATTACCCGATATCAGCTGGCCAGATTAATGATTTTTTTTTTCTGGGTGTTTGGTGCCGGCTGCGGGTTTTTACTTTATTGTGGTTGCATTTTTTTTTTCTGTAACAAGAGGAATGGACGAGAAAAACTTGACAGACAGAAAATCAAGTAAGACGTGGTGGTGTCCAAAACACAAAAATAAGATTATCAGTTTATCTGCCATGTTGGCTATTGTTTTTTCTGTGTCCGGGGATGTACATTGTCATTGCTGCAATACTTTACTGCTGTGGTTTATGACCTATTTCAGTTCTAGCCCCTGTTAAAGATTTTGTCACTAGATCTACATACTAACATTTAAATTGTTCTAGATCTAGGGACAAAACATTTTGATCTTTTATTCTTTCTTTTTAAAATTACTATTTGTCAGCTCTCAAAGCATAACGTCAGTCGGTCTCGATTCACCCTATTGGAAGGCCCTCCAGTGTAGTATTTTGTCAATAACGTCTTGAGACTGTGCAGCAGTGCGTCACCGTTAGGCTCCCCACAGCAATTCCGATTATGAGCTAAGGAGATAAAAAGTCGTGTTGTGGTGACAGTGACAACATATGATCCGGCGAGATTAGGCCGGGGATTGAGTTCCTCCATGGAGCAAGTTTACTTGTCCGACTTATCTCCCGGCTGCATTGGAGTTGTGGGGGAAAGACAGGGCTGTTGATCACGGCCGGCGATTTGTGCCACGCTGTGCCGTCCTTTAGGGAGAGGGGG